TCCTGGCATGGCCTGGTCATCTTGCTCTTCATAGTTGTCTGGAATTGTAAATCATCCCATTTATCCCTGGACACTAGAACCTTCCCTACAAACACTCTCAGCTGTCTTCTACCCAAACACAACTACCTCTTTTTTTTTTTTTTTTTTTTTTTTTTTTTTTTTTTTTCACGCTACGGCCTTCCACCTTTTGTAATCACTAACCTAGATGGTGCTATTTTTGGTGAAAGTTCTTGCTAGAACAGTTTATCAACTTCTGGGTTTCTTTCTCTCCCTCCAGATCCACAGTGACAAGCCTGCCTAGACCAGTGCTTCTAAGTGTCCCTGTCTTGATGGATTAGCTTGGCCAGGACAAGTTTACACATTACTGGAGAAGTGTGAAGAGGGCGTGCGGATGGAAAAAATAGAGATGCAGGAAGAGGTTTATAATGTTTGAAATTATGCAGCCCAGCCCGGAACGTTCCATAAAAACTTTCTCCTGGCTCCTCCTCTTTCCTGCCTTAATTGCCAGCGTATCTGACCGGGCAAGCCAGCCTCGCTGTTTCCATTGCTCAAGCACACACTTGGCTTTAAAGGGTGTGAGAACCACCCTACTTGCCCACACAGGCCTTTAAAAAACAAAACAGAACAGAACAGGGTCTCATGTAGCTCAGGGTGGCCTTCAAGCTCCTTATGCAGCTGAGGATGACCTTGAACTTCTGATCCTTCTGCCTCTACCTTCCAAGTATTGGGAGTACAGGCATTCTCCACCATGCCTGGTTTATGAGGTGCTGGGGATTGAACCTGGGGCTCTATCTAAGCCACTCCCAGCCCTACAACAGGCTTCTCTTGGTCCATTTCCTGTCCAGTCTTTTGAAGACTTTGCAGTAGCTTTACCTCTCTCTTTCTGAATTGTTGGGAAGTTTGAGACTGTAGGGCCGCCCGACTACTCATTCATTCCATTTCACTTTCTGCTTCTTTCCTAAAAGGGGGGCTTCCCGAAGTTCCTTGGCCTCCTTTTGGTCTCTCTTCCCATTTCTCTTTATGGACTCCTTGCCCTCTAATGGTGATTCCCATCACTCCTGTTGATACCCAGAACCAGCTTTCTGGCTAAGGCCACTCAGTAGGATTCCACGTTTGCATTTCTCAGTGACCACTGTTTATTTCTTCCGTGTGTCCTAGAAGCCATTCAAAATTATTCTTAAAGTTGAGTTCATAGTTTCCACCCACAAACTTCCTCTTTCTTGTAACCCTCCCCTCCAGAATATCACACTGCATCCCTGCATCTGTTTTGTCTCTCATACTAGGTCCTTTTCCTTTCATCTCTGTTTCTTCATTCCCATAGACTTTGCAGGACTCATTCAAATGTCTCCTTCCTAAAAAACAAACAAAACAAAACCTTAAAAAAGGGTATATTTTAGAAACGTGTATTTCAGTAGTGAGAGACGTGGGTCAAATGTAGGTTCTGTCTAGGACACTACGCACAATGTTTACATATCTTGAATTTGGTTTTTCTTAGCCATAAAGTGGGAGCAACACTTACTAACTCTCTAGTTTATTGATGGGAGTAAATGATTTACAAATATATACAATACATATTGGAGATAGTGTCTTCTATATGGCACAGGCTAGCCTCAAGTTCACAGTAATTGCTATATTTTGTTTTCCTCAGTCTCCTGAGTACTGGGATTTCAGGCATGATCCACCATGTCCAACTCATTAATGAAAATGTTGTTTCAGAATGTAAGTTCCTTAAGAGCAAGGCTCAGTTCTAGTTAATCAATATAGCCCCAAGTACTCACAGATTAGCGATCAAATGAATAAATGAATACAGCATCATTTTCTTAACTCCATGTCCAATGCCAGCACTGGATTCACTAAGGAAAAGATCAAGCCTAGTCAATCTTGTCCTATTTAATGCCTACTGATTACAAGTGGCCACTGACTTGATACTCGTGCTTTCTTTTTGTCTGGTTGAATGGCTTGACTTCATAGCCAAGGGCTGCTAAGAAGGGAGAAGTAATCATGAACTTCTAAACCCACTCAGCCTTAGCTTGCTGTTGCTTTCCCACAAGCTGGGCCATCTGGTTAACTGTCTAGTAGTTTAATGGTGTAGACAACTAACTGTCCTGGGTCACCAGCTACCATCACCTCTTTTTATTTTTGCTTAATTTATCTAGGCAACTGCTTCATCCCTTTACTTCTCCTGATCTTTACTGAAGAGTCTCTTGGGTTCCGGGCAGCCATCTGGTCTACACCCCTGCACTCATTTTCTGCTTTGACCTACTTCCTCCTCTTTGCTCTTAAAGGTGGGGGATGCTGGCTGTTGTTGTCCTGAAAAACTAGTGGCGCTCAGCTGGAAAGCAGCCCTTCTCCGAGCAGGCAGCAGGCTCAGCACACCTGTCTGCTAGCATGGACATGCCAAGCGCTTGTCTCCCTCTTGGCCCATCAGACACAGCTGAATACGTTCGGCTGGTGCTCTGGCAATTTGGTTATTCATTTTCTGCTCTCAGCTGAGCGCAGACCACCTGGCCATACCTTGGCTCACCCACTTCCTAGTTCTCTTGGAAGACAGTGTCTGGCATCCACAGTATGTTTCCTCTTTCCCTACTTCTCCACTGTCCTCCATTAGGAAAGTCCTTTTGGGGAAGAATGAATGGAGGCGAGGAATGAATACATGAAGTAGCATCCCATTGAAGAGTTGCGAGAACTCAAATATTATTTTGAGGTAGGTATAGAGGCATGCTGTCTCTTTGAGTCAGTTTTCTGATTCATCTAAGACTTTGAAACATCTTCTATTTTTTTTTGTCTTTACCACAGTAGACTAAAAACAAAGGTTCTGAATGACTGTCTACATCATCTAAGCTAAAGGTGAGGATGGAGGTGGGCTCATCAGTCTTCATTCACACCCCTTAATGATGAAGCCCCACTTCTGCCAAGGCAATAAGGAAATAAAGAATAATGTGGCCGTGGTGCTGAACTAAAGTTCACTATTGCATCCAAGTCTAAGTCATTCTGCCATTCTTTCCTTTAGTCTAATCAGCAATAATCATGATATAATTAATCCAAGATGAAATAGCAAAACTGTCTCAAGGTGTAGGGAAAATAAGAGCCCCAAGACCTCACCAGTAGCTGGGATATATAAAAGGGTCTAATAGATGCATGCCATGCTAATGACGTAGAGCAAGCCCTACTGTAATAAAAACAATGATTTCCTTTTTCCGTCTTTGGAAAATTTTGAAGGAAAAATAGAAGTTAAGTAGTATCAATCCTTAAAAATAGGACTATTCAGCAGGGTATGGTGGTCTTTAATCCCAGCACTTGGGAGGCAGAGGCAGGCAGAGCTCTGTGAGTTTGAGACCAGCCTGGTCTACAAAGAGTTTCAAGACAGCCAGGACTGTTACACAGAGAAGCCCTGTCTTGAGAAAGCCTCCCACCCACCCCAAAATAAGACTATTAAAGAAGAAATTGAAAGGTAGGACTGGGAGAATCACTCAGTTAGTTGAATACTTGTCTTGCAAGCACAAGGACCTAAGTTTGAGCCCTAGAACCCTTGTAAAAAAGGATGGAAACAGAGATCACTGATGTCAGTGGCCATTCTAGTTTATAGGTAGATCAGTGAGAGACCTTGCCTCAAAAAAAAGTATGGGAGGATAGAACCTGAGGAATGACACTCAAGGTTGTCTTTTGCCTTCCACATGCACGTACACATACATACATACGTATATACATATATACATACATAGAAAAACACAAATTGGCGTTGGAGAAGCTAAGACGGGGACCTGGATCTGATGAGTGTTCCTGAGGTCAGTTTCTCCTACTTTTAGGGAGAGCCTCCATGTAATCTTCCATGTGGCACTGGATAGCAAAGCCAAGGCATGGTGTACACTAGGCAGTCCTCGTCATAGGACCACAGCCCCAGCCTCATCTAACGTCTCTTAAAACTTTCCAGGGACCAGAATCATGCTTTCCTTCTTAGGTATGATTTTGAGCAGGGTGTGGCAACAGTCCCAGCACCTGAAAGGGGCAAGAGTTCAAGGTCATCCTGACCTACACAGTGAGTTTGAAGTCAACCTGAACTACATGAGACCCTGTTTCAATAAAAAAGTGATTTTGAGTAAAACAGCATTTCTAGATTATGGTTTTTCCCCCCCCCCCCCCCCGAGAGTTTCTTTCTGTGAAATCTCTAGAATATTCACAACCTTTGGCTTTTCCCTTACTTGAATGACACATTCCACTAAGCTGAAGCATGACTGATCTGTAGGGTCTAGAGAATCGTCTATAGTAGCCATACTTTCAGTTTTGAATGAATGAGCTTATTAAGTAGATAGAAAAACAAAGAAAAGCAATAACTAGCCACCAATAGTTTTTGTTGTTGTTGCTATTTTTGTTTTGGGGGCTTTTTGTTTGTTTTGTTTTGAGACAGACTTCCCTATTATGTAGCTCTGGCTGTTCTGGAACTTTGATATGTAGACCAGGCTGGACTTGAACTCACAGAGATCCTCTTGCCTCTGCCTCCCAAGAGCTGATTAAAATGCCTAGCCTCAATCAATAGTTAGGGAGACAAATAGACAGGAAAACATCTTCAGATTTAAAGCTCAAAAAATCCAGCAGAAACAAACTAGAGAAGTTGAGGCCGACAGCTAGATCCCTGGACACACTTCCTCTTGATGGCTGAGTTTCCGACTTCTCCTTCCCACTGTGGGCGTTTTTATAGTGTGGGATGAGTTACCTTCACTGAGAATGTCTTCTTTCTGGCAGTTCTCAAGGACGCAGTGTTTTCCCTCTGGGGGCTGTTTTGTTGATCTCTTCTCTCACAGAGTGAGGGGACCAGTTCTATCTAGACAAGGGCCTCAGAGGACACTTTGAGACAAATACACTTGGGTCTGAAACGGGGAGGTGTCTACCCTGCTTCCCGAGGTAGTTCCTCAGTGAGCCCAAACAGCACGTGACAATTTACCAATCTGATACACATTACAACTACATAAAAATGTGACTTTCAGTGTACATGATATTTTTTAATTTCATAATAAAAGAAAACCAGGCATATCTCCTTTTATTTTCCTGGCATTAAGAATCTTTATATCTTACACTTAAACTGGCCTGTTGTAATCTTTTTTTTTTTTTTTTTTTGAGACAGGTCTACCCTGAACTGTTTGTGACAGTTCTCAGAGTATTGGATTACAGGTATGAGAACTACCATGCCTTCATAATAATTTTTGGTATTTTGTTCCCAGTAGTCAAGAGATTTTTGTTTTTCTCAAAAACTACATTATGATAATTGCATTTTTACAAATTTTACTAATAAGAAAAAAAGTCAAATTCATGTATAACTATCAATATCTTTCAGTTTTATGTTTTGGTTAGCTTTGAGACAGGGTGGCAGTATGCAGCTCTCTGAGAGCCCCAGGCTAGCCTCAAACTTGTGATCCTCCTGCCTCTGCTTCTCCAGTACTAGGATTACAGGCCTGCCTCACCGCACGGCCTCCTTACTTCTGTAAAGTCCTAGAAATTCGGGTCCTAGTGAAGACAGCCTGGAGAGGACTTTTCGGGTGCACTCGTGCCCTGTCGGGCTCACCATTCAGAGTATTGCCCTTCTTGTCCCCAGCCAGTGTTCCCCTGTGCATGCAAGCTATGCAATGTAGACTGAAGATCAGAACATTGAAGCCATCCTCAGGCCACTGCGGGCGAAAGCATGAGTCCCAAGGAGGCTTGCGTGTCCCTCACACTCTGGCACCTTCTTACACAGCCCTGCTGTAGAGGGGGAGACTTCAAAACCATCATTTGGTTTCATGAGTTAAAAACAGAAGTGGTGGGAACATATCGCTAGCTTTGAGAGGCCTGGGGATGATCATTGGTTAAGGGTGGTGGGTCCGGCTCAGTGGCCAGGAGGCCCAGATTTTAAAGGCTGGCTCCTGCTCTCTAGGTGTGTGGGAGTCTCCGGACTCATTCTTCCTCTTTGGAACTCCTTTTGGACGCCATGTGCACATAACCTTCTGTTTCCTATTGTCCAAAGCAGGGTTTAGTTGCCAAGACTGACTCAACTCGCATGCGATTCCATTTAGTTGAGGGTTAATGTTAATGAACACAAGCTTCTCTAAGAGGTGACGGTTCTGTGCGTGCATATGTGTGTGTGTGTGTGTGTGTGTGTGTGTGTGTGTGTGTGTGTGAGAGAGAGAGAGAGAGAGAGAGAGAGAGAGAGAGAGATAGATAGACAGACAGAGACAGAGAAAGGGGGCTCTCCTCTCTTCCCCTCTCTCTTTCATTCTTTCTCTTTATCTTAATACATGTGTGTATGTGGGTGGGCTGCATGCCACGGTGCTCTTGTGGAGGTCATAGGACAACTTTGGGTGTCAGTGTTTGGAACAGGGGCTCCTTGGTGCTGCATATACTAAGCTGGCTGACCTGCAAGCTTGTAGGGTTCTCCTGTTTCTTCCTTCTGGCTGTCTACCAGGGGTCTCAGCCCACTGATGTGAAAGCCACCTCAAAGGAGAGTAGGATGCTGTCACCCCCACTCTGCTGGCACAAACACAGGAGCAGAGGACCTTGAGGAGGAAGTCCTGCCTGAAGGAGGACTGTGATTGGAGGAACAGTGTGGACTGCTGGAGTCACGCTTTGAGATCATGCCCCAACCCCTGGGACCTGATATGCGTGGGACACTTCCTTCCCCCCAGTGGGAGCTGGAATAGCTCTGAGTCAGCATCCTGACTCTTGGCTCTTTTTACATGAAACTGTGTGGAAGGAGCGAGCAGGTAGGCATAGCAGCAGACTCTGGCCTGGAGCCACTATAGTCTCATGTACTGTGGGGGTCAGGCTAGAGAGTCATGCTATGTGAGAACATGAGACATCAATCACCCGGCAAGACACTAGGGAAGAACCATTTGCTAGACACCCAAAGAGCTGTGGGAACCCCCAATCTAGCACCTGGGAATGTAGTGTATTAAAGGTTGGCTCTTACCAATCTCCTGAGTTTTCAGTTTCGCCCGTCCCTGTTCAAGCAGGAGGACAGTCTCAGCCCAATTGTAACGAAGTGCTGGGGACCTCGAAGTGCGAAGAAAAGACATTATTTCCCACAGTTTCGGAAACTAAACATCTAAGGACCAGTGTGTCAGCACAGATTAGTTCTGTGAGGGCCTCTTCTATATGGTAACCTGTCTAGCTGTGGCCCCACGTGGCGGAAATGGAGTGGGCTCCTCCCCATTTCCTCTCTTCCAGGACTCCTTTCGTAAGGACACTCACCTCATTTATTAGGGCCTCACCCTCATGATCTGATCATGCCCAAAGGCCTCATCTTCCTCCCATCACCTTGGGGGTTTGATTCTCAATACAGGCATTTGGAAGACACTCTCAAATTCAACCCACAGCAGAAGGGACACCAATGGTCACATCTGGGAGACACATCTCTGCCACATCACTCGTTTCACAGAAACTGGCTGCTGAGGTAGTACTACTCTTCCTCTTTTGCAGATGAAGAAAGTGGCCCGGAGAGGGGGAGGGACGCACAGAGAGGCAGCTGACTGGCTCAGAGTCAGGGCGACAGCCTAGAGTACAAATGCCAGGCCCATGGCCTCCCGGAGAGCTGGTGTAGAAAACAATGCTGTCACTTAAATCTTGGGGGCAAGATCCAGCCAGGTTGGCATTCTCCATTCTGGAGGTCACATTCACCCCAAGCTTGACAAATGTGCACATCTAGTGTGACACTAATCAGAGAGGTGGTGTTTGGAAGAAAGAGAAACTTGTTCTGAGTTAGCATGTGAGCTGGCGGGGAGGCTTTGGGGATGGGTACCAGAAGTCCAGGAAACGGCCACATCTTTATGCCCGAAGATGTCATCACGGTAGTGTACAGAGCGATGGGCTGACAGGATGCGGGGGGCAGAGAGCCTTGTTGGTGAGTCTGGAAAGGTGACAGCAGGACCTGGCCTGGGATTGGCTGAGATGAGGTGCTGACTGGGCAGATTAGAGGGACAGGCGAGTGGAGTAGAGCTGGCATGGAGGTGTGGAGAGAAACGTTCACAGTGGTGGGGACAGTCTGCGGGCATCCAGGCTTCCTGGTGGAGCGTGACAAAAAGGAAGGCTGGAAGGTGATTGGGTAGGTAGAGTCCTGGAAGGCCAGGCAGGGCATGGTCCAGAGGTGGTGATGGGCTCAGTAAGGTGGAGCTACCTTCCAGAAGGAAGAAGAGGGCAGGTGAGGCATGGGAGGACAGGGATAGATGCTGGGGCGGGGGGGGGGGACGACACTGGGCATGGGAGAGAAGAGGTCTGAATGGGAAGACGTTTTCTGTTTGTTTATTAGAATATTTATTTATTGTATGTTGTGTGTGTGAGTGTTTTGCCTGCATGCATGACTGTGTATCACATGCACGCAGTGTCTGCGGAGGCCAGAAGAGGGTGTAAGATCCCCTGGAACTGGAGTTACAGTTGTGAGCCACCATGTGGTGCTGGGAACTGAACCCGGGTCCTCTGCAAGAGCAACCAGTGCTCTTAACCACTGAGCTGTCTCTCCAGCCTCCTGTTTAATTATCTTAAATTTTCTTGCAGCTACATATGACATGTTGGGCATATTCTGCCTCACCCTGCTCCCCTGTTTTCCCTTCATTAGCTCCTCCCTCATTAGTACCCTCTGTTCCACTAGACAATTGCATATCTACTGTCATTTAATATATACATACATGATTTGATGTGGTTATATAAGATGTAGCAATCACACATGAGAGGAAAAAATAGTATCTGCATTTCAGAGACTGACTTTATTTTATCGTGCCAGGTTTCATCACTTTCTCCACAAATGATATGACTTTGCTCTTCTTCATGGCTGAAAAAAAAGTTCTCTTGTGTCTATACGACATTTTTCTTATTCATTCCTCTATTGTTGGATGTCTAAGTTGGCGCCATAGCTTAGCCATGGTGAAGCTGTAGTGCAGTAAACATGGATGTGCAGATGTCTCTGTGATGTGTTAACTTAGAGCTCTCTGGGTGAGTCTTCGAGAGTGACTGGACATACGGTAGATCTGTTTCTTGGCTTTCGAGAAACCTCCACACTGACTTTCATAGTGGCTGGACAATTCCACATTCCCACTGGCAATGGATAAACAATCCCCTCTTGTGGGAGGAGGTATTCTGAAGGTGAACAGATGGACCTACAGACGTCTCAGAGTCATCAAGGTCCTGAGTCAGTTGGATGGAGGCTGACCGGGTAGCAACAGACACAGGAGGCTTGGGGGACCCTGCTGAGTAGCTTGAGTGGGACTTGGGGGGTGATGTCAGCCGATGGACAGGTGGCCCCAGGGCATCTGGAGACAGCAGAAGGGTCAGACTGGGGTGCGTAGAAAGGGGTTGTCTGTGCAGAGTGACCCTGGCCAGGGGAGGCTGCAGGTGGGTGGCTTCTCTGGGGTGGAGAGGCATTTGCAGAGGGGTCCAGGAGAAGCGCACCAGGGCAGCACAGAAGTATCATTCAGAGGTCAAGCCGATACAGGTACATCCCTGCTCCTGTGTCACGGCTGGGGTGGGCTGGGGGTTCTCAGTGCAGGCTTTGGTTTTTAAGGAGCCTTCACGAACATAAGAAGTACAGTGGAAACCAACAACTTTCTGAGGAGCAGGAAGGCACCGAGCCTGAAGGCCTCTTTGCCTTCCCTGCCGCTTCTTCTCTGCCAAGAGACCAGTCACGTCCCTTGTGGGAACAATGAAAACCGCCAGTGAAGCGGAGTGTGGTTGGGCTCAATGTGCGTGTAGTCCTGGGAGCGACTGCCTTGTTTTAGAGAGGGGCAGGCGGGACATGACATGGGCTTGGAGGGAATGAGGCCGTCAGGCAGAGTTCTGGAAGGTATGAGCCTGTGTCCTGCACAGCTGAGTGACTGTCTAGGACTATCCTGTTCATCTTGAGACAATGCTGACCACTGCCAACACAGGAGGCTTTCACGGTCCAGGGGAAGGTGATGCTGTTTCTGATGGAAGTTTTGATATAAGGTAAGGCAGCAACAGAGTCCCATGCTGTCAGGATGCTGCAGACACCATGCAACCTGCCTCATTCCAATTTTTTTTTTTGTTGTTGTTCATTTGAGACATAGTCTCAGGTAGCCCAGGCTGGCTTCGCTATGTAACCAAGGATGGCCTTGAACTTCCCATGTTCCTGCCTTTACCTCCTGAGTGCTGGGATTAGAAGCATGAGCCACCATACCTGGTTTATGCAAGGCTGGGGGTGGAACCCAGGGCTTCAAGCATGCTAGGCAAACACTCTACCAACTGAATTTCAGCCTGGCTCCACTCTCTTCTTAAGGTTCCTTGTGTTTGCCCTCCAGAGAACCTGGCTTCAGGCACTTCCGGGCCTTGAGGGTTTGTCTGCTGAGGATGCGTGGGTGGCAGTACCCGGGACACAGGTAGGAAAAAGGGCCCATCTTTTGGGGCTCCCTAACTGGGGCAGAGCAGACAGATGGTTGTTATAGGATATTTGTACACTGTGTGAAAGCATATTACTGTGATTGGTTTAATAAAGAGCTGAATGGCCAATCACTAGGCAGGAGGTATAGGCAGAGAGGAAGTAGGAAGAGAAATCGAGACACAGGAGAGAGATGCTAGGAGATGCAGAACCAGCAAAGACATGCAGGAGAGGTAACAGTCACGAGCTACATGGCAGCGCGTAGATGAATAGAAATGGGTTAATTTAAGGTATAAGAACTAGTAAGGAACAAGCCTAAGCTATAGACAGAGCTTTCATAATTAATAAGTCTCCATGTCATTATTTGGGAGCTGGCTGGTGAGACAGAGAAAGACTCGTTACAGACGGTTTTTTGCACAGGACCACGTGGTAAATGTTTCCTGATCTGCAGATCACATGCCTGGTCCCAGCTGTTCAGTGTGTCCCCTGTGTGGTGACATAGCCATGGGTGGATGGCATGCCTGTGTTCCAGTGAAACTTTGTGTACAAAAACAGATGATGGCCGCATTTGGTCCATGTTTTCACCGCCTAGATTTTCCCTCTGAGCTTTTGCAGGGCGGGAATGCATTTCTTGCTCATTTTGCTCTGCCTAGGCCTGGTGTGACTCACAGTGAGCCTCAGCAGCAGGGGCCAAGTGATCTTCTAGCTGTGGACAGAGGCTTGAATTAAAGAAGGCCAGCACCCCTCCTGACCCTGACACACAGAGCAGGGTGGGCCTGGGAGAGAAGAAGAGGATGAAGATGAGGCTCACATGGAGAGCCATTGAAGAGCGTAGACTAGGGAACAAAGTGGACAGTACAGAAAAGCCAAGCATGGTGGGGTGCTTTGGTCTGATGATGGCCGGAAGGTGTCCACATAAGTTCATGCATCAGAAGTTTGTTTTTCAGTGCGGACTAATTATCCACCCCCTTCCTAACTCCACAGTTCTTATAGTCTTCTCTCCCTCACCCCAGACTAGGACACCGCCCAAGTCTGCAGACCTGACATAATGGGAGGTGAGTGGTCAGTGGAGGTCTCACCTGGGGGAGGAGATGGAGTACTTCTCCTGAGAACCTGCTTGGTTCTTGAGAGACAGTTTTTAAATAAAAGAGAAAGACTTGTCCCTCTCCCACTTCTTTCTGTCTGTCTTCCCCGTGATCTTCCCATGATGCCATCTGATGTGATCTGACACATTCAGGGAAGCCTTTTCCAGAGCTGGCACCATCTTCTTCAACTTGCAACACTGTGTGAAATAAACTTTTTCTTTTTTAAAAAATAAAGCACCCTGGCTCTGGTATTTTGTTATAACAATGGAAAATAGATTCATACAAAGGTGGACTAGAGAATTAAACGAGGCCAAGGAAGCCATCTTAGGCTGGTAAATGGTGCAGGTGTGGCAGGAAGGCAAGGACACTTGAAGGTCACCTGCAACAGAAAGTGCCCGGTCAGTCCCCTGACAGAGGAAGGGCTCTGTGGACAGGGACTAGAGGCAGATCTCAGCAGTGACCCTCCCCGGCTTCTTATTTTCTCTCAAGCAGTAATGCACAAGGATGTTGTGTTTTCTGATGTCCAGTGACCACATATTTTGGGGGTGCATCGATCCTAAGGGCAAAAGGAGCCTCGGGATGGCAGAGCTCCCAAGCACAGAGCGTTCTGGCCTCTGTGCATCGCCTGAGGCAGGACAGAAATGTAGTGCCAGCTCTCCATGGTGATCTCAGCTTTGGGGACACAGGTCAAGTTTGGAAACCATTCTGCAAACACACGCAGGCCCTAGTGAATGCCTGTTTCTAGGACAGAGGTTGTAACACATGCATGCTGTTTTGATGAAGTTTATCATCAGAGGCTTTGGCAAGTGGATGTAGGCACAGCAGAGCCTCAAAACAAAGTGAAAAAAATATCAGGCTAGTTTCTCATTTAGGGGGCAGAAAGCTAAGCTGACAAAGGTTTTAGCCAAAGGAGAGGAACTAGAGGGGATGAAGTGGGGCCATTTTGAAAGTGCAGCTCCATTTTTCAAACATATTTTACTGAGGAAGCCACAAGTCACAACAGTCCCGAGTGGCCTTCATCACAGAGCTGTTCTCCAGACCTTTTCTCCTCCACCCACCCCTGTTTGACAAATGCCACCTTTGGGCTGTTACTGCTGCCCACCCTGGTCCTGTGAACCCTACATCTGGTGCAGGTTTGTGTGTATCCGGCCCACTTTGCCCAGGACCTACAGAGAAGCATCTCTAGCTATGCATCAGCATCTTCCAAAGGTAATGGAAGGATGGTCCCCATTCCCTCCCTGCCTTGGACCATGGCCCCTCTCAGAGGACACTGGTTCATTTGTTTCAGCCAATTTTTTTTTTGTTTGTTTGTTTTCCCCTAGGCTTCTGGCTTCTGTAGATCTGACAGGGAATAGTCATGCATAAGGTTTTCAAAGGAAAGCACCCCCAAGATATATGTGTGCGTGCTCTAGGGACATGTGAGCGCTAACTAGCGTTCTGGCCAGGTCCTCTGGGAACATGCATACACACAGTCTGATTGAAGGACAGAGGACAGAATGGTGTGGGGTGGGGGAGGGGGGAAGAACAGAACGTTCATCTCTTTTGGCTTCCAGGAACTTGAGGGTCAATGTGCAGAAGATGCAACTCATCCCTTCCAGCGAACCTCACTGATTGCACAACTCCCTACAATCTGACTCTGGAGTTGGCTCTTGAAGAGAATGTCCCAATCTAGTGGCCGTGGATTCAGGAACTCAGAGAGATGACGCCATTTGTTCAGAGGTTGAAGTCCTCTGAGCCAGGTCACTTTTCCTGGCTCTGCAGCTAGTCGCATTGCTAATAATAGCAATGGGGCACTTTGGACTTGGAAGTGGCTGTGTTCGCAGTACATCTGTGTGCACTGTCACGCCACGGAGGACAAACGATGACGACCGGCCTCGGTGCTCCTGGTGAGCACCTGCCAGCTGCTCCGTGGACAGTCAACACATCTTTCGACTTAACCCTTGCCGCCGCCGGAGAGACTGTGTTTCTGTTAGACCTTGGGCCAGAGGGAAAGTTGACTTACATGTGTACTGGTGAAGTTTCACGGTGCGGCCGAGTTGGGTGTCATCCCTGCTGAGTGTTGTCCCGGGTGGGTCCAGCACCCACAGACCGGGCAGAAAGCTGAATGCAGACCTGCTATCCTGACCTCTGTGGGTACATGGATGGCATATGTAATCATGTGTGTGCCCCTAATAGCAGCAGAGGGGACTCACTGATCTGCCACAAATAAATCTTGTCCCCAGCTTCAGGTGCCCCCTGTGACTCCTGCCCCGTTTCTTCAGTCTTCCAGGGTCACTCCATCATGGGGAGATGGTGTCAGCTAGCCAGACCCCAATATGTAAAGGGACTCACACAGATCCACGGGTGAATACCTCCTAAATGAGCGGCTCAGGGGGACTATTTCTGAATAAATTGTGGAATGGGGGAGGGGTTCAGAGACAGCTCCTGGGACTGTGGTCACTCTGACTACTCTAGAGAGGACCCTGGCTCTGTGTGAGTTTTGGATGCGTGGCCAGTGGCAGAAATGAGTGGAGGGAGAGGGCTGAGCAGCCAAGAGAGTACCAAGAGAGGATGTCCCGGCAGTGTGGAGGGGACCTGGATCTGTCCCTAGTGTAAGGAGACAAAAGAAAGGGTTCCCCCAAGGCAGAAGCAGCCGGGAGCAAGTAGGTGGAATCGAAAGCACCCAGCCGGAAAGGCCTGGAGCTCGCTTGGCCTAGAAGTCATGGGAGAGAGCCCCCAGGCCACAGATGAGGCATCTCTGGTCTGTGAATAGGATGACGCCTGGCTGGAAGGATGAGGGTGTTGGTGACAGACTTCACCCTGTGTCTTTTCACATGGGGTCCCAGGTAAACATGTCCTGGAATGGGTGGAGCATGGAGATGAGGAGAGAGGACACCCGAGCCGTCATGTTAAGTCACAGGTTAGGGCCGTGGGACGCAGAGGAGCAGGGAGTCTGATGGCCTGGCAGGCCTTCGGGCAGTGGAGGGTGGGAACCAGGGTGGCCAGGCAGGAAATGCCCTAGTCTCTCAGGTTGCAGGAGAAGGAAAGTCTGGCTGTTCTGAAGGGGAACTTAGAGACTAGGGACCGGATGTGAGCAGGGACCAGGGGAGGGAGGAACAATGGCCATTCTTCCACCACAAGCTGACCTTCCCCGAAACAGGAAGGGCCTGCCAGGAGGGGAGGGTCAGGCTGAGGGACAGGAAGGAAGGGGCCCGAGGAAAGCCAAAGGCCTGTGGACTGTGTTTGGAATTTACAGACCCCTGTCTGGAGGTCCCCAAACAGCCCCGCTAGCTCAGCTCACACTCCAGGGGTGTGACTTTCCCAGGCCCCGCTGCCTCCCCCTCTCCCTCTCTGGGCCCCCTCCGGACCCTGAGATGAAGCCTTACTAGACTGCCCAGGGCCAGGGTCTTGCACGCTGAATGGTTGTTTGTTACAGGTCCGTGAAACCTACCATCTTCACACACGGAGCGGGGTTTCCAGAAAAAATAAAGGAAGGCGGCCAAAGTAATCAAGGCTCACAGCCTCCTCCTCCTCTTTCGAAAAGGCGCCTATCTCCAAAACAATCGAGGCCGCCCATTAAACAACACTTGTTCAGTACAGAGGAAGGGCAGCGTGCCGGATCGCTGGGCTTTCCAAAGAAAACACTCCCCGTTGTCCAGCAGGCAACAATGAACAAAAAAAACCTGAATGGCATTCACATGGGAGGGTGGGGAGCCCGGGCCAGGCCCTCGGGATCTTCGGGTGGCAGTGACGGGCTCCCAGGACAGAAGCCCCATCCTGCACATGTAGGTCCTCACCCAAGGAGCAGGCCAAGACACAAGGACACACAACCAGGTGCTCCTCTGCAAACCGGGGAGAGAACCTTTGCTAGGGATAGCATCAGCCAGCACTGTGCTCTTGGGCTTGGAGTCTCAGACTATGAAGAGTAAGTTCCTCGTGTTGTTTAAGCTCTCCAGTTTCAGATATTTTTGTTATAGCCTGCTTAGCAGACTGGCATGTTATCCATCCGGTCTAAAAGATTAGAGTCAGGAATACTGCATCTTCTCACATGTTGGAGCTGAAAAGCTGAGCTCAAGGAAATAGAGAATAGAATGGTCCTTGTTATGGGCTGGGAAAATGGGAGTGGAGTCAGGGTGAGGGAGAGTGGTTAATCAGGCTGGGGTACAGTTGGTGGGAAAAATCTCTTCTAATGGTTTATAGCGTGGTAGAGTGGCCATGGTTGAAAACAATGTGTCCGGCATTTCAAAATAGCTAAAAAAGAGCATTTTTGAAGGGTCCTTTGCACAGAAATGATAAATATTTTGTGTGATAGGTAGGCCCATTGCCCTGGTGTAATCATTACACTGTGCACATAGGTACAGCATAAATACATACAGTGAGTATGTCAATTCGATAAATATTAAAAGGGCAGTGTTGGGAAGTCTCCAGGGCCATTCAACCCTGAAGGCGTCAGAAGCATGGCAGTCCAGTTGATAGTGACTGTTCTTTCAAGGCCACACGGAACATCCTGAGAGCTTGTTGGTCCTGTTGGCTTCTTGTACCGACTTCCAGGGTGGCTCGCAGAAGTAGGGGGAGCCTGGGTCCTCCCCTCCTCTGTATCTTCACCTGGGATCCCTTCACTACAGGCTAAAGCCAGTGTTAGCCCCTTCTGCAGCCTGTCACTTTGCCCGGTGTGGCTCTTCAGCAAGTCAACAGCAGGGAGAAGTCAACTGGCTACACATGGGATCCCATTTGCCTGCAAGAGAACCGCGGCTCACCTCAGATAAGCCGGGCTGCGGTGTTGGCGGCAAAGGGAAGTGGAAACCGGCGCTCTGTGCAGTTCCTGGAAGGCACCGGGGCTTTTCGTGGGGAAGTGACAGTCCTGTAGACAATCGACCAAGTCAGTGAGCAGCTTGTCACCGCGGTCTGAGGAACCCATGGAGGCTCTGTCCCCTGCTTTGGGGATAACCAACCCTGGCCACTTCCCTACAGTGATTCTCTTTCCTTTCCTTTCTTTTTTTTCTCTCTTTTCTTTTTTTCATGACTGGGTTTCTCTGTGTAACAGCCCTAGCTGTCCTAGAACTAGCTCTGTAGACTATATTGACCTCGAACTCACAGAGATCTGCCTGCCTCTGCCTCCTGAGTGCTGGGATTAAAGGCGTGCGCCTCCACTGCCCTGACCTTTCTTGAGGGCCCTCAGGAGTCCACACTTTTCTCACAGCTGCATCTCCTATGCCCTTGCCTGTGCTGGGCACCTTCTTAGTCTTCCAGAGTTT